CCAAGCCAGACTTGCATGACAGCAGCAGGAATCCTTAGCTGAAGAAAGCCAGAAAGGAGGGATTTGGGAGAAGGAAGGAAGGGAGAAGCACAGGCCCAAATGTGCATGTGTCCCACACACCAATGTCCTTGTCTCTGGGCTTTGTCCCCAGAAAGGATGCACGAAGGGACTGTTCCACCAGAGCCAGCACTCCATCAGTGTCTTCTGCACCAACATGATGGAGCGGAACCAGAAAGCTGAGGCCACCGGCTACGCCCACCCCACCCAGGACCTCTTCATGGAAAACGGTGCGCAGGCCTCTGCCCCAGGACAGAGCAGTGGAGCACTCATGAGTGGCGCCGTGCCACACACCACACACATGAGAGGGGTTGGCAGATTAAGCAAGCAAAACTACAGGGTACTCAGCTACATCTGAACTTCAGATAAACAATGAAAACATTGTAGCATAAGACTATCCCAAATGTTGTGTGGGATATACTTACACTAAAAATGTAATCGTTGCCTATTGGAAGCTCAAAATGTAACAGAGTGACTTCCCTGACACTGTGGGACCAAAGGCTGACCCAGGCAGGTGCTAGGCAGGTGCTCTTCCACTGAGTCACAGCCACAGCCCATTTTGCTTTGGTTATTTTTGAGACAGGATCTCACATTTATGCCTGGACCGGCCTGGGTCACAATCCTATTTATGCTTCCCACATACCTGGGATGAAAGGCCTGCACCACCACACCCAGCCTTTTTTGAGGGGGGGGGTTTGAAGTTAGGGTTTCACACTTACAAAGCAGGCGTTCTCCTGTTTGAGCCACACCTCCAGTACACCCAGCTTTTTGACTGGTTGAGATGGACTCTTGCTAACCTGCCTAGGCTGGCCTCCAATTGCGATCCTCCCAATCTCCACCTCCCAAGTAGCTAGGATTACAGGTGTGTGCCACCATGCCTGGCTCCAGTGCTGATTTTTTTTTTTGCAGTACTGAAGTTTTAACTCAGAGCCTGATGCTTGCTAGGCAGACACTCTACCACTAGAGCCATGCCCCCAGCCCCAACGCTGACTTTTGAGTAGCTGGTGTCAGAGTCCCTAAGTGGGAGGCAGGACACGAGCCTGTGGACCCTGGGTGCTAAGGCTGAGCCTCATTCCACAACCCCATCACTCTGCCTCAGAAGGCAGGGGAGGCAGGTGGCACTGGTGGCCAGGAAGAGGGGACGGAGGTGGGCCTGGGGGTGAGGGGGCCCTGTGTTGGCTTGCAGTCATGTTCTGTGGGATGGCAGGCTTCTCTGACTTCTACAAGGCCCAGTGGCTGGAGACCACTGTCAGCTGGCAGAGGCCACAGGAAAGCGGCTTTGGGAAGCCTGGTGAGCTGCGCTTCCTCCCTGGCCAGGAGGGGGCGGGGTGGGGCCGGCTTCTAGGTCAGGCGAGGAAAGGATGCATTGCACCTGGTTCCCGGAGAGTTGTAACATGTGTGCGCATGCATGCGCCTGTGTGCACACACACAGGTGGAAGCGGACTTGGAGCCAAGAGATTGCAGGTCGGGAGGTGGGCAGTTTTGTTTGCGGTGCTGGGGTTTGAACTCAGGGCCTACATCTTGAGCCACTCCACTAGCCTTTTTTAGGAAGGTTTCTTTCGAGATAGGGTCTTTTGAACTCTTTACCTGGGCTGGCTTTGAACCAAAATCTACTTCCTGAGTAACTAGGATTACAGGTGTGAGCCACCGGCACCCGGCTCCTTTATTTTTGAGATAGGGTCTGGCAAACCATTTGCCTGGACTGGCCTTGAAGGGCAATCTTCCCAATCTCAGCCTCCCAGGCAGCTAGGGTTACAGGCGTGAGCCACAGCCATGCCGCTACTTGCAGTTTTCACAGCTCCTCTGGTGGTTGTGACCTGGAAGGTTTGGGAACCACAATTTGACAGACCATCAGGAGAAAACAGATTTAGGCCACGTGGAAGTAGCTGCAGACAGATGTGGGAGGAAATTTTTGGAATGGCCTCCGTGTTCCAGACAAGACCTGAGTCACGTGAAATGTTGTGAGTGGAAAAGATTAAGTAAGGTTTAAAAATCATCTTGAGAAAGCAGGTGTAGTGGTGCATGCCTGTAATCCCAGCACTCAGGAGGCTGAGGCAGGAGGATCAAGACTTCAGGACCAAGGGCAGTAGGTGTGGACAAGTGGTAGAGCACTTGCTTAGCAAGCATAAGGCTCTGAGTTCAAACCCCAGTACTGCAAAAAGAAAAATAATAATAATAAAAGAGGGGGTGAATTCAACTCTGATATATTGTGAGAACTTCTGTAACTGTCACAATGTACCCTGGTGCAACAACAGTTTAAAAAATGTTTTTAAAAATAGTCAGAGGCCAGCCTGGGCTACACAGTGAGACCTTGTTTCATAAAATAGTAACAATAAAATCAGATAAAAACCTTGAGGCGCTCACCTTTCACTCTTCTCCAGCTCCTAAGGATGAAGAGCTGGTTGCAGCTCGTCCTCACCCACAGCACATCCTGAGAAGAGTGAGGAGCAGGGAAAAACTGTTCGCAGGTGAGCAGAGCACTCCAGGATCTTCTGGGTTTGAACCAAGTCACCATAGAAAGCTGAGGCCTGAGGCCTGTATTCTCTTCTGACCCAGGTTGCCCTCAATAGAAAAAGGCCTGAGAGTCACGGGGGCCCCAGGCCCCAGGCCCTTCATGTTTGGGGGTGGAAGGAAGGGTAGGTGGCTCTGACCGTCTCCCCTAAGGAAGTGGGAGTCCAAGCCAGGCACAGTGGCATATGCATGTAATCCCAGCACTCGGGAGGCTGTGAGCAGGACTATGAGTTTGAAAACAGCCTGGGCTATGTATTGAGTCCCTGTCCTAAGGAAAAAAAAAACAGGGCGTGCAGAGATCCTGTTTCCAGCTGGAGGACCATCACAGACGCAACCTTTCAGGGTCCAGCCTAGGGAGGAGAGCCTGGGTCAGAAGTTCACAGACAGAATTTGCACAGTGGCTGCATCTCAGAGGTGTTGGAGGAGCTGAAAACAGACAAATGCAACAGGGCTAGGGGTGCAGCTCAGTAGCAAAGTGCTTGCCTAACGCACACAAGGCCCTGGGTTCCCTTCTCAGCACACACACACACACACACAGAGCCAGGTGCTGGTGGCTCACACCTGTAATCCTAGCTACTTGAGAGGCTGAGATCGGAGGACCACAATTGGAGGCCAGCCCAGGCAGACAGTTCTTGAGACACCATCTCCACAAAAACCACAGCAGAATGGGCTGGATGTGTGGCTCAAGTGGTAGAGCACCTGTTTTGCAAGCGCAAAACCCTGAGTTCCACCAAATGAAAGACAGGAAAAAAGAAAGAAAAGGTCAGCCTAGGGTTTGACCCCTACCTCTCTAGAGCTGGGGGGACTTCAGGGAGGTGGGGAGGACAGAGACACTGCCTCTCAGTGCCTCTTGCTGGCCAAACATAGCCAGGAGCTGAAAGGCAATGTGGCCACGAAGCAGAGTCTTGAGCAAAGAAAGGCAGGGAAGGGGCTGGGAGCTGATGGGCCGGTGACCCCAACAGTCCTGGTGGCCACACAGCCTGCTGATCCCAAGGCTGCTCCTCCACATCCGTTGTCCTGGGCTGTGAGGAATAGCATTCCCTCCTTAAGTGTCGTGGCTGTGATGAGAACTCCCACAGGCAGTCATACAGACTGAGGAGCAAAGGCAAGAAATTATGTCAGAGGGATAAGGGGAGAGGACCTTGGTTTCAATTTCTTGACAAAAATAAGTAACCGCCAGGCAAAGCAGGGAGGGATGGCACAGCAGCTCCCAGAATGGGCATCCCACACACGTGGCCCTACAGTGCCTGTCAAAGAGCACTTCTGATGAATGGTGTTGAACACAGGCTCACAGGGCTCTCTCCCCCGAGATGGCTGCTCCTGCCACAACACGGCCACCACAGTCGCAGCTCTGGTTGGCTTCCTGTACTTCCTGGCAGAAAATCCCCCAGCAAACAGAGAACAGCCTCCATCCACACTGTCACCACAGAGCGACTACTGAAATGAACTTTCCACATGGCCTGCCCCACAGACGACAGGCCCTCAGTGCTTCCTCTAGGTCCTGAGTCACATCCTAAGAAGGAGGCAGCAGGAAGGAGGTGGAAGAGACCAGTGGCAACCCCTGTCACTCTCTGGGGTTGTTTGGAGACTTGACTGAACAGGGCCTGGGAAGGTGGTGGGATGGCCCAGGTGTGAGCAAGTGAATACACTTAAGAGTGCAATTCATCAGAGATTTGAGTCTCTTTTTTTTTGAGACAGGGTCTTCCTATGTAGCCCAGGCTGGTCTGGAACTCACAATCCTCCTGCCTCAGCCTGGGATTATAGATGTGCACCACCATATCCAGCGGAAAGTTGAGTCTTGTTTCTCAGCCTTAAGGGCAGGTTTGGACAACCTCATTGTCTCTGTTTCAACTTTCCAACATGACTCAGCACAGATTCCGAATGGACCCGTTGTCTTAGCCTGTTTTCTGTGACTATAACAGAATCCCATAGACTGGGTAATTTATAAACAATAGAAGTTTATTTGGTCTACAGTCTGGAGTCTGGGAAGTCAGGGCATGGTGCCAGCATCTCTGGGGGCTTTTGTGCTGAGTCACAACATGACAGCAGGACAAACAAGCATGGGCAAGACGGAGTGAGGGCCAGAGGGGCTGGGGTGTGCTCAGGGGCACAGCACATGCTTAGCATGCTCGAGGCCCTAGGCTTGATCCCCAGAACTAAGAAGAAGAGAGGAGAGGGACAACAGGGGCGGACTTTTAATAGATTCAGGAGGGCAGAGCCCCGTGCCCCCCTCACCTCAGTACTGTTGCAGTGACAATTACATTGCAACAAACTGTTATCAAAGAACAGAAAGGATGAGGGGTCCCTCGGCTTCCTGATTTCCACAAAAATCATGGGAACCTGAGATCCATGGCAAAAAGCATTTTGAGGGGTTTCACAGAGGAGAAGTCTAGCAAAACGGGAAGGAGGGAGACATGAAAGGGAGAGTAGGAGACAGGGTGAAGGGGGCTCAGAGTGGCAGCTCTTGTCTGGGTGTTTACCTGGGGCCCATCTTGAGCCTCCATCCAGACGGGGGGGTCTCTCATCACCTGGCAACACATCATCATTTTGCTAAGCTTCCAAGCAAGAGACGATGGGTGTGGGGTGGGTTTTGCTACCCCAGACGTGGCTAAGTGGGCTTTGCTGTTACTCAGATGCAGAGACTGTGCCACCGAGGACATCTGTTGGCCACACTCACCTTTTTATCCTGACTCCGCCTGTTCAAGGGGTTCCCGCTCGCCTTATTAACCTGGCCCACTTGCTTTTGCTCTGTTTCCCTATTCAGGGAGACCGAACGATTTCACATCTGAAAGAGGGGTGCCTTATTTCTGGGTTCCGGCCGGTTTCATATGTCTTACTCTTTTCAGTCTCCCTGTCGCCTCATCTATCTACCCTGACTCAAAACCATGCCACCCACACATCAGAGGCTTTTTTTCTCTACAGGGATTTATTAGGAAAGTGGAACTGCGCTTCCAGGGTTAGGGGGGCTCTTTGGGGAAGGGCTGACCACCAAAAACAATTGTGATTTTTTTTTTGTAGTCCTGGGCCTCGAACACTGGGCCTTGGGCTAGCTAGGCAAGTGCTTCAGCCACATCTTTATCCCATGGGAGTTGAAAGATGAATTGGTCAGATGTCAACATTACATCTTTCCTGGTGGGAGCGGTAAAGGTGTCTGAGAAGAACAGCCTATGACTCTGACTTTTCCAGAAAAGACCTTCTGGAAACTTCTCCCATCCAAGTACTAACCAGGCCTAACCCTGCTTAGCTTCAAGATCAGGTACATTCAGGGTAGTATGACCATAGACTTCTGGAACCTTCTGATGGGTTCAGTGCTATCTGTGGTGCTGATGACAGGCTGTCTACAGAGGAACTTTGAAACTAGACTCCAGCCAGGTGCCGGTGGCTCATGCCTGTAATCCTAGCTACTCAGGAGGCAGAGACCAGGAGAACTGCAGTCTGAAGCCAGCCTGGGCAAATAGTTTGTGAGACCCTATCTTAAAAAAGCTCATCACAAAAAAGGGCTGGTGGAGTGGCTCAAGGTGTAGGCCCTGAGTTCAAACTCCAGTACCCAACCACCACCAAATATAGACTTCAGGGTAGCAAACCAGCTCCCAATCCAGTCCTCAAGCTAGAACTGTTTGAGTGCACTGTCCTGCTTTGCCTCGAGGTGGAAAACGGCCTCCAACCCAGTCCTGCCTGCAGCTCCTGTGCTTGCGTGGGGGAGGTAGGGAGTTGATTCTTCTAAGCTCCAGGAGACGGACTCCCTCTGCTGATGATCCTCTCCTGCTCCTCACAATCACCCTTAAGTTGTCTCACTCAGTGACAAGTAACAAGTTTGGACTTGCTTTGGAAGCTGCTATTTTCTTGGGGAACCAGGAGCCAGAATTTAATACCTGCTTGGCACTGGGACATTTCAAGGATTTCTGTGGCACCACTTCACAAACAGAAAATTACCAAGACAGGCACACAGCCTTTCGAGAAGTCAGCTGCACATAAACCGATTGGGGGTTATGCCCACCCCATCCTTCCTGAATTTGAGATAGATTAGTCACTGGAGCCTGACACAAATGCACCTGAAAGACTTAAGTGAACAAACCAGGGCAGGAAGTGGTGAGAGGACCTGTACTTCCAGATCACTTTCAAGAAAAGGGTGTCCTTGGGCCAGGTGGGGTGATGCACAACTGTAATCCCAGCTACTCTGGAGGCAGACATAAGATGGAGAGCTCGAGGCCAGCCAGGGCATAGTTAATGTGACAAGATCTCAAAACTAAGCCAGCAAAAAGGGCTAGGAGTGTGGCTCAAGCAGTAAAACATTCTGCCTAGCAAGCCCAAAGACCCAAGTTCAAACCCCAGTATAGCCAGAGGTGGGGGGCAAACCCCCCGAAAGACCTCTTCCCCTGTTGTCGCTACAGTTTCTGAACTGAAAGGGATAAACACATAGCAGATGTCTTCTCTTCTCCCTTCTCCTTCCCCACAACTGCAGCTTCTCCTAGCTGGGAGCACTGGACACAATGTAGACACCAGACTTCCTGCCTGTGTCCTGAATATGGTCGTCCTACCCACATCACTTCCCTCAGTCTCTGGAAGGTTTTTCAGCACCTGGGGAAGCTGATTAAATGTGCAGATTCCTGGGCTGTCCCTTAGCCGGGGAACGTACACAAGTAACCCAACACAACAGGTTCACATGTTGGTAAGCACAAAGCCAGAACACAGCCAGCGCAGAATGGAGGAGCCAGGAACTAGTGGCTCACGCCTGTGATCCTACCTAGTGGGGAGGCCAAGATTAAGAGGATTGCAGCTCGAGGCCAGCCCAGGCAAATAGTTCGAGAGACCCTCATCTCCAAAATAAGGGCAAAAAATGGGCTGGAGGCATGGCGTAAGTGGTAGGGTACCTGCTTTTGCAAGCGAGAAACCCTGACTTCAAACTCCAGTCCTGCCCCACCCCCTCACCCCAAGAAAAAAGTGGAGGAAGATTTATGACCTGACTGGGCTCTGGTGGCTCATGCCTGTAATCCTAGCTACTCAGGAGGCAAAGATCAGGAGGATCACGGTTCAGAGCCACCCCAAGCATAGTTCGAGAAACCCTATCTTGAAAATATCACAAAAAAAGGGCTAGTGGAGTGGCCCAAGGTGTAGGCCTTGAGTTCAAACCCCAATACACACACACAAAAAAAAAAAAGGCTTATGACCTTATGAGGAGGGCACAGGAGTTATTTCCAAAGCTGTGCTTTCCTTGAACAAGGAAGCATGGAGTGGCGATTTTATTCAGCAGCCTCTGCACATTCATACTGGGAGGCACCTTAGGGGCGGCCACATTTCTGAGCATGCCGAGTTCAAGGTCATAGTTCAGTTGCAGCACTGAGGATTGAACTCAGGACCTTGAGCGTGCTAGGCAGGCACCCTACACTCAAGTTGTGTCCCCCACACTGTTCTCTTATTCCCTTATTCTGCCATTTATTGAGCTGGGAGTCGAACAGGAAAAAGACATTGTTCGTGACCCTAGCTGGCGCAGTTTGATGATACAATTGTTGGGTACACAGTAAATGCATTTCCCCTGCAAATATCTGACTCCCTCACTCGCTCAGCACCCCTGTGCCCAGGTGTTCCTGTTCTCAGGTAGTGGAGGAGATGCCAACAGAGGTGCTGTATCCAGGAGCTCGGAGCTCTCAGCGGCTCTGTTAAGTGCGCAAAAAGCTAAGCAGGACCAGAAAGGGTGTCTTCTGGAAACCCAAGCCAAGAGCTAACCAAGATATGTCACTCTGAGGCCAGAAAACTTACTTCTAATCCAGTCATCCCTCCCACCTGTTCCTTCCTCTCCAGCCCCCAGCTCCAGGCAACCACTAATCTGCTTTCTATCTCTTCAGATTTGCCTTTTTGGACACTGAATGAAAAACAGGATCACATGACCAAACTTTGGAGGGTTGATAAAAATGTTCTAGAACTGAGTTATCTCTATATCTGCTGGAATGATGCAGGGATAGCTCTGTATTTACTAAAAATCATTTCGCTGTACACTTAAGACAGGAGAATTTTGTGATATGTAAATTATTCTTGCTAAAACTTTTTTTTTTAAAAGTCTTCCTCCAGTGGCTAGCTAGTTCACTTTGGCCGAAATCCAAATCCACATTCCTGGAGCTCTCTCTAAGGGATCTGGCTTGGCCCCTCCGTCTCCCACCACCACCACCAGCCTACCTTCCTGATGCACCTGCAAGTCTGTTTTCCACCCCAAGGCAGTTACCTCCAAAAGGGCACAAAAGGCAAACTATGGGCAAGGAAGCCGCTATCCATTAAAGGCACAGTGTGACTCTGAGGCAGGAGGATCACAAGTTCAAGGCTAATCTGGGCTCTGCAGTGAGACCCTGCTTCGAAAAGAAAAAAAAATAATATAATGTGGGTTTTCTTCTGTCCCCTTCTTTGTGTCCTCTCAACAGCTTTGTCATAAAACACCAGATTAGGACCCAG